ATGGTGAAGATGCTTGGATTGGGGACTTGATGGATTAGGGGGGAGTGTTGGAGTCGGTGCTGTAGCGCCGTCAATTTTAATCGCACCAAGTCCCGCATCGCGCTATACATAGTTCGCGCTGTCCGCTATCTACGGTAATTTTCGTATAGTCACAACTCTCGTTTCCATACAGATACTACATTTCTTTCACTAGTAGTCTCCATTTCTGTAGATTTGACTACACTCTAGAATAGTGTCTACCTTACGCATTTCTGGTCCGTTTGGCGCCATTCCGGCGCCACTTAGTGTATGGTCGTGTTTGTTAGCTAGTTCCCACGCGCTCTGTGCGCTGTCATCTGCGCCTGAGTCGACTCTGTGGTCCTTAAGACTTACAGAGCTCGACTTAGGTGTGTAGCACAGTTTCCTTGCAATGAAAAGACTTACAGAGCTCGACTTAGGCCATTGTGACCCCTCTGAGGCCCACTGCAGCTAACACTCCCACCACGCCTTGGATAGGACTCACCGTGGCGCACTCTATTCGTCAACTCGCAGACCGACTTTGACGAACGCACGGCCGTGACCATACTACAGTCAATTACTCGGACAACGAGGTAGTCGTCTACAACCACAACCGCACCCCCGAGGAACATCGAGCGTACAACCTAGTACGATGCCAAGCCACACCAGCGGACACTGAACGTTCCATTCGGCAGCTCAAGGAAGCATACAGACGTGCGACCTACCAGGAAGGATTACTCCTCGATCGACCAGTAGCACCAACGCCTCAGAGACAGGCATCTATCGAACTCATCCGTCAATGGACGCTTGACCGGATCGGAAGGACTCACGCACGAGCCGTCCTTCATAGCCCAGTTTGGAACGAATATCGCCTGAGCATCGGCTCTTGGACACCAGACCAGGCGAGCCTCGAGTTTACTATCCTTGACGAACTCGAGCATTGGGTACTCCGTGACGTCGGGTACGACGCGGACGACGAGCTACCATCACTCGTCAACACCGAGCAAGAATCATCAGCAGGCAACCCCCCGAGCCCCGGACCACTAGACATCCTCTCCCTCCTTACGAGGATTCGGGACAACGCGAGCGCGTTGTACGACATCACCAACCACCACCCGACCCTCACCCCGATCTCCGAGCAAGCACACATCCAGGTTCTCATTGAACAAGTTCAGCTGGTCCTCAACACCCTTCACAACCTCCAACGGCTCATCAGCCCACCCCTTCCTCCCATCCCCATCAGCCACGACCCAGAAGAGTGCCACGGATCCAGTTACTTTGCTGCTCGAATTCGCGAACAGGCCGATAATCTTCGTAATATTCAGAGTCTTTTGGACCCGGACTTCACCGAACACTGCCGATGCCTACATCTACTCGTTGGGGCCAGGGAATTATACGAATCTCACCGTCGCATCATTCAAAACGGATACGAGTCCCCTGACGCTAGTGCCAATTCTGACTATTTGGCGACTCTACGCAACTTCCACCTGGACTAGGTACCCCTCCGCATGAATACACAGCGGACCGATTGCACCCAACGTATTCACCAATACGACCCCGAGAATCGACGCGACATCAGCTTCAATAGAGAAGGACAGAACAGGTGCAATTGCAATAACCACTTGTGCCCCAACCGATACAACGGACAGAGCAGCCCCAACGTCACCACCAGAAATGCGCCACAGAAAAGGCAGGAAGCCTTGATCCGAACGACTTGGGCCCTCAATCGAACAACAGCCCCCTCCCCACCGCGCAGCCCTGCTACCCACCGCACTAGTTCCCTACCAGACGTAGCGAACGAGCCCACCGAGGCTACACCCTTGTCAGAAGACAACCCCGCTCCTCGAGACGACGAAGAAACTGTCACCCCTCTCCGCGGTCTTCTCCAAGCACACCCGGATGAACTAGACGGCGACGTGGACACGACAATAGAATCTATAGACACTACTATGTCTGCAACCCAGCAGGAACAAGCTCGGACCCAGAGGCTGTTCCGAGCAACGAATGAGCCGAGCGTCCCAGACACACCACCTCGTTCCAGCCTCCCCAGCTTCCAACTCGGAAACTTGTTCACTCCATAAAACAGCATCTCCTCTCTACGCCAGGCGACAGGGGCCCAACCCGGTCAAACCACTCACCACACCAGCAGTGGGACTCTGACAGTACAACCCGTGATACCACCTACTACTGCTGCACCGCCGGGTCGGCCACCTACACCCCCTGGTTTGCCTCAAGGACCTGTCGGACCTCCTCAGGGACCTGGCGGACCTCCACAGGGTGGCGGACCACCTCAAGGCGGTGGACCCCCCCACGGCGGCGGACCCCCTCCAGGTGGCGGACCCCCTCAAGGACCTGGCGGACCACCACCTGTGGCTCCTCTCAGCGTACCAGGCGCCCCCGCCGGCCGAACCAAAGTCCGCGCCCCCAATGTTTTTGACAGAGATCGCGACAATCTTTGCACCTTCCTCAATGAACTCTTCCTGTTCTTCGAGGCATGACCAGCCGACTATGCCACAGACCAGAGCCGCATCGTCACCACCCTAACGTTCATGGACGGACTGAAGGTGATCGCCTGGAAAGATGGATACATCGCTCAGGCCCGACGAAACGGCTGGAACACCTGGAATGCGTTTGAGACGGTCTTACAATAGACCTTCCAGCCCATCGAGGAAGCCGCTACGGCCGCCTCCAAGCTGTACCACCTCGACTACCGACCTGCCGCACTAGACACCTTCAACGCGGAATTCTTCCGCCTCTGCGCCCTCGCCGGTATACTCGAAGACAGTGCTCAGCTGTCCTTTTATAAGGAGCGTCTCCCAGAAAGCATGCGACGACGGGTTCGCCTCACGTACCCCATCCCCACCACCGTTAATGAGTGGGCAGCATGGGTGTTGGAGATTGAACACTCCAACTACGTGTCACGAACCGCCCTCACGGCGCTACATTTCCTTTTCGATTTGGACCATTGCCTCGTACGTTTCCTTATTGTTCACTACTCGCTACGGTTTCCCTTTGTCCACACACGGACAATAGCTCCCTTTGTCCCCACGTCCGCTATTGTCCTACACCCCTTGTACTCCGTACCCATGGCGACGCTATTGTTCTCTAGCGCCCATTGTTCGTTCCCTGTATATAGCTGGATCCCTTGCTACCTAGAGACTCTAGTTTTGACCTCTTGTCTCCAGGTAAGCTATCGTGTATTTCGCTCTGTAGATACTTCACTCAATACACAACTTGTCTCCAGTCCTGCCTGTTGAGCTCCGCTCCAGTCTCACTGTGATCAGAGCTCGTCGGCACTCCTGCCTGCCTCGCTCGTCTCCACTTACTCGCTCGACAGTCAGTCGTAACACTAGGTCGAAACTACCTCACAGGCACCAGCGCCCTCCCACGTTTAACACTCCGTTTATCACTGTCTCCCCCACCTTTCCATCCTGGATTGTAGCCCGTTTTTCCACGGCTTTCATCCCGTTGCCGTAGAAGACCAGCACTACAACCACAACTATCAGCGGTGGCACATCTGCCCGAGCCAACCCTGCCCTCACCGGTTGGCCAACAGGGATGACAGTGGTACCGACTGGTCCCAATTCCCACACCACATACAACCTGAGGCGGAACAAGGCACGCTCATCCAGGTTCGCTTAGCGACTCCCCTCCCAACGACAACTGAGTCAGGACGGCCACTACGAGCAGCTGTACTCGCGTCCATCAGCCTACCAGGGACTAGACAGCCCAGTCGCTCAGCAACCCGCGCCCCAAGCTGTATCCCTAGCCCAGGCGGCTCTCCCCGAACTGAATCTCCTCCCGGAGGATCTCATATCCCGCTCGACACCACCATCTCGCTCGTCACCAATCATCTAGAACGACGAGCTTCAGGTGCGTTGGAACCTCCAGTAACCACTGAACCACCCCCGAGACCCCCACGAAACCCATCATGCTCCGAATCAAGCGTGCAATCCCCTCGTAGTCCATCTCCCACCATGTCAGCCATCGACTCCAAGCTTCTCAGCCAACTCGCACCCCGAGACTACGATGGCAAGGAGGCTCAGGCCGGACTCCGCTTCACCGCCATGGCCAAGCTTTACCATACGCAGCTAGTAGCTTCGTCGATCACGGCCAACCTCACATGGATCATGGTGTTGAACAAGTTGACGGACGACGCCGCTCGATGGGCCGGGCCCCACATCATTGACCTCGCCGACGGCAAGGTCATTTGGTCGAACGTGGATGCCTTTGAGACGGCCTTCAGGGCCCACTTCTGCGCGGTCGACGACAAGAAGGCCGCGCTCTCTAAACTTGTCAAGCTGTGCAAGGCATTGCACAAGCTTGGCACGGCCAAGGACTACACAGTGAACTTCAACGCTATCGCAGCACGCACTCCGCTCTCCGACGAGGACAAGCGGGCGCGCTATGTAGATGGCTTGCCGTACAAGATCCAGAATGAGTTCGCGGTCACGGCGCACGAGGTTGACACACTGGAGAAGGCGCAGAAGGTCGCCCTTCGCATGGACCAGCAACTGGCCGAACGCGCTAAGGCGATGCCCAAGACCAAGGGCTGGGGCCGCCGTGGCGAACGAGTAGCAGCGGACCGACATGGACCTGAGGAACGGTCCTGCTTCAACTGTGGCGAGAAGGGCCACATCCAGCGGAACTGCAAGAACCCCCTGCGAGGACAGCAAGCAGCCGCGTCCACTGCTACTCCGCCCAACCCCACCCCATCCTCGAACCCCTCGACCTCGGACGAGCTGGTTGCTCTCCGTTCGCAGCTCAAGGAGCTCAGTGATCGCATTGCCGCTGTCAGCCTCGCCAAGGAGAAGGAGGGTTTTTGATCTGAGCCACACTGGATGCTGCACGTGCGGGCTCGTGTACCAATAGTCGCTATGCTGTACTGGGATTGTCGTTAATCTATGAAGTCGACCATGCGGGTCAACACTTCCACATCTCTATACGATTGAGCGGCAAGCAGCGAAGCAAGGAGTTGGTGGCCATGGTCGATTCTGGTGCCACCACGAAGTTCCTCCACAGACGATTTGTGGCACGGAACCAGGTCACGACGAGAAAGCTGGCGAAGCCTATTCCTCTGTACAACATCGATGGATCGGAGAACCGAGACGGCACAATTACGGAAGTGGCCGTTCTCACTATGAAGATCAGCGACCGCGAGGAAGAGGTCGCGTTCGTTGTCACAGACATCGGAGAAGAAGATGTGATCATCGGGCTGGACTGGCTGCGCGAACACAACCCGGAGATAGACTGGGCACATGGTTCGCTACGCCTGTCACAATGCCCCGACAGCTGTCCAGCGACCCACAAGGCATCCAAACCAGTGGAGAATGAAGCGCGTGATACGGGGGTACGGCCTACGGCGCGCACAAGGTCTCCACGGGTAAGGAAAGCACGAATGGTGGGGCATGTTTGCGGTACGGTAATGGTCAACGAGGCCGAAGACGAACCTCTCCTACCTCCAGCTGAAGAATAGTGGGATGGTACGGAACAGTCTCTCATTGACGCTTGGCGCAAGGGCCGAATGCTCCGTGGTGCACCGCAACTCTTCGTATCGGCCAGTCACACCTACTCGCAGCAGCTCGCCGAACAAGAGTATGCCAAACGGGAAGTTCAAACCGTCGATGAGATGGTCCCACCGGAGTACCGAGAGCACATGCACGTGTTTTCTAAGGAGGCCGCGGATAGACTCCCAGAACACCGCCCCTATGACCACGCCATCGAACTGGTTCCTAGCGCGCAGACCTTCCACTCAAGGCTTTACCTGTTGTCGCCCAGCGAGCAGGTCGAGCTCGACAAGTTCCTGCAGGAGAACTTGGCCAAAGGCTACATTCGTGAGTCGAAATCCCCGATGTCCTCACCCTTCTTCTTCGTCAAGAAAAAGGACAGCAGCCTATGACCGGTCCAAGACTATCAACAGCTGAACACCATCACGGCGAAGAATCGGTACCCACTCCCGCTCATCGCAGAACTCATGGACCGGCTCAAGAATGCCAAGATCTATACGGCGCTTGACGTTCGCTGGGGCTACAACAACATCCGGATTAAGACGGGCGACAAGTGGAAGGCTGTGTTCACGACCAACCGAGGGTTGTTCAAACCTACGGTTATGTTCTTCGGACTCACCGGCTCCCCCAGCACGTTCTCCGCGTTCATGAACAACATCTTCAAGGACCTTATCGTCGAAGGAAAGATCACTGTGTACCTGGACGACATACTCATTTTCAGTAGTGACCTCACAGAACATCGCAAGGTCGTGCACGAGGTCCTCAGACGATTAGAAGCGAACGACCTCTTCCTAAAGCCGGAGAAGTGTCGGTTCGAACAGTCCCAGATCGAGTATCTTGGCATGATCTTCTCCGAAGGGCGCGTGGGTATGGACCCGGTCAAAGTCAAGGGAATTGCAGACTGGCCAACTCCTCAGAACACTTCGGATGTACGGAAGTTCCGTGGCTTTGCCAACTTCTACCGACAATTCATCCACGACTTCAGTGCCATCTGCAAACCGCTGGACCGACTTACGGGCAATAACCCCTGGCAGTGGGGCGAGGAAGAGCAACGCGCATTCGACGAGATCAAACAACGGTTCTGTAAAAGTCCGGTCCTCTGCATCTACGACCCGGAACGGAAGACACGAGTTGAGGTCGACGCCTCCGGGTACACCACCGGTGCAGTCTTGTCCCAAGAGGGCGACGATGGAAAGTTCCACCCGATTGCGTACCACTCCGAATCCATGAACGATGCTGAACGGAACTACGAGATCTACGACAAGGAGATGCTCGCGATCATCCGTGCCCTGCAAGCGTGGCGTCACTACCTCGAAGGTCTCCCCTCCCAGTTTGAGATCAAGTTGGACCACAAGAACCTCGAGTACTGGAAGACGGCGCAGAACCTCACTCGCAGACAGGCACGATGGGCCCTGTATCTATCGCGGTTCGACTTCGTCATCACCCACAAGCCTGGTGTCTCTAACGGACGCGCGGACACGTGGACGCGCTATCAAGACGACCGGACTATCAGCACGGTGATGGTGAAGACAACCTGGCTCGAACGGTGCTCCGTCCCGAACAGTTCCGTATCCTGGCGAGTCGACGAGGACACCTTGCGGTCGTACCGGACAAGGCTCTCCTGAAGCGCATCAGGGAGTGTCAGGACTTCGAACCTGCGGTCGTGGAAGCCCTGAAGCATGTGAAGAAGCTCGGCCCTGCAGCACTGCGAAATGACCTGGTCGATTGGAACATCGAACAGGATCTCCTTCAGTATCGAGGCAAGATCTACATTCCGAATGATCAGGAGCTGCGGACCGAGCTGGTACGGCTTCACCACGACTCTCCTCTGGCAGGACATCCTGGAGTTTGGAAGACGGTCGAGCAGCTGTCGCGCAACTATCACTGGTACGGCATGGCTCAATTTGTGAAGGACTACGTACGGACTTGCGACACTTGCCATCGAGGGAAGACATCGTGCACGAAACCCTATGGACCGCTGCAGCTGAACGATATCCCGGAGGGACCAATGCGCATCATGACGACAGACTTCATCGTTGGACTTCCCAAGGTCACGGTAGCCGGAGTCGAGTACGACGCCATTCAGGTCATGGCGGACCGGCACAGCAAGATGGTACACTTCGCTGCAACAGACGAGGAGGTCGACGCTGAAGGAGCTGCTTGGAACCTCATCTGCGATCACGTACGCCTGCACGGCGTTCCGCGAAAGATCATCTCAGACCGAGGACCGCAGTTCTCAAGCAAGTTGTTCCGCGCAGTCCTTAAGGGTCTCGGCATCGAGAGCGCATTATCGACGGCATACCACCCTCAGACTGACGGTCAGTCCGAACGCTGGAACCAGGAGCTGGAAGCCTACCTCCGCATGTTCTGTTCTCTGCGACGAGACGATTGGGTCCACTGGCTACCAATTGCGGAGTTTGCCTTTAACTCACGGGCTCACTCGGCCACTGGGTACTCACCCTTCTTCCTGATGTACGGATACGACCCGGAGTTTCACATTCCAGTTCTCGACATGGAAGTACCAGCAGCGGACGAACGGCGAGAGGAACTACGAAAAGCACGGGAGGACGCAACTGCGGCACTGGGTCTGGCGGCCGAACGGATGAAGAAGCACTTTGACAAACACGTTCGAGAGCTACCGACCATCGTAGCTGGACAGAAGGTCTGGCTCGACACCCGCAATCTGCGCATCACGGGGATGCCGCGAAAACTTGTAGATCGGCTGGCTGGACCATATGTGGTCAAGAAACAGGTCGCACCACTGGCCTACGAGCTGGTGCTCCCCAAGGACATGCAAATCCACCCCGTCTTCCATGTCTCACTCCTCACATGCCACCAGCACAGTGATCTCCCAGGCCGTCATCCACCCGAGCCAGCCCCTCTCGAAGTGGAGGGGGAGGAAGAATACGAGGTTGACGAAGTCATCGACTCGAGACGCTTCGGCCGATGGAAGAAACTCCAGTACCTCGTTCACTGGAAAGGCTGGGGTAACGAGCACAACAGCTAGGAACCAGCGGAAAACCTGGTGCATGCCCCTCAGCTGGTCAAGAAATTCTACGCCAAGTTTCCTTCAAAGCCTCGATCGTGAGGACACGATCCTTTGGAGGGGGGTACTGTCACGAACCGCCCTCACGGCGCTACGTGTCCTTTTCGATTCGGACCATTGCCTCGTATGTTTCCTTATTGTTCACTACTCGCTATGGTTTCCCTTTGTCCGCACACGGACAATAGCTCCCTTTGTCCCCACGTCCGCTATTGTCCTACACCCCTTGTACTCCGTACCCATGGCGACGCTATTGTTCTCTAGCGCCCATTGTTCGTTCCCTGTATATAGCTGGATCCCTTGCTACCTGGAGACTCTAGTTTCGACCTCTTGTCTCCAGGTAAGCCATCGTGTATTTCGCTCTGTAGATACCTCGCTCAATACACAACTTGTCTCCAGTCCTGCCTGTTGAGCTCCGCTCCAGTCTCACTGCGATCAGAGCTCGTCGGCGCTCCTGCCTGCCTCGCTCGTCTCCACTTACTCGCTCGACAGTCAGTCGTAACA